CTGTGTCAGTTTAATATTAGCATCATTACCTATAGTCTTCTCCTTTCCTGCTTCCTCCTGTCATTAGACTTCATGGTCAGGTATGACATACTCTACACCAAGCCAGAGCCACTGTGCCACATGGGTACTGGGTCTGTCATCAGCTCACTGTCACCTGGGTGCCTATTCCTGTCCAGGCAAATGAAACCAGGCCACAAATTGCAAATGAAGAGAGAGGTTATGGATTACCTAATGACCCATTCCTATGTTTTGTTTTTGTTATCTATGAAATTTACTAGTAGTGATTGGAATTCATCTAACTGGTCACAACCAGTGTCAGTAAGAATTCAACATCTCAAGAATTTATAAGTTTCAGTGAAGTTTTAACACTTTATCTACAGTGGCTTTCAAGTACTACGTTTCCCTACTCCCACTAGCTCAACCTCTGCCCACCTTTGAACTAATGGGAGAGGACATAAAACGCAACCTCATCCTCCTATTCTCTGTAACAATATTCACCTGTACTAAGACTCATCTCTCTGAGTTCAATAACAGTCAACCCAAAAACATAACTTTTACAAATGTTACTGCTTCTTCACCACCATACCCAGAATCCACATGGGGGTTGGTAACCCCAAGGCAATTTTCCATCTGCAATTCATCAGCTTACACCTCTCTTCCAACACAGTGGGATGGAACATAGCCATCTACAACGGCCACCAGTATGAATTCATAATCACTCTAGGCCTAATATGGAAAAAAAAAACCTGCAAGGAATTTATTAACTTTGTGGCATGCACATAAAAATTCTGTAGTTATTTCCACTTCAGGAGATAGATTCTTTTAGGCTATTGTGCCCACTTTTGGGATAATAGCAATAATAGACTCAATCAGGAACATTTCTACTGAGGGTGAAAAACTAGTTCAAGACCTCACTCAAGCCATCTCTCAAAACATCTAGTGCTATAGAGATTAATTTTTTTTTTTAAGGCAATCAGGTTAAGAGACTTGCCCAAGGTCACACAGCTAGTAAATGTCAAGTGTCTGAGGCCAGATTTGGACTTGGGTGCTCCTGACTCCAAGGTTAGTGCTCTATTCAATGCACCATGTAGCTGTCCCTATATATATATATATATACATATATATATATGTATATTCTTTAGCAAAGGCAGTCCTGCAGACCATTTAGCGTTAGATACTTGGCCTCACGGCTTCCTCTGGAGGAGTCGGTGCTCTTATTAATCAATCCTGTTGTTCTTACATTAATAAGAGGAAATTGTTACAAATATACATGAGCTTTAACGTATTATGAATGACACCCAGCAAATTATGACAGAATCCTATGGATCACTTAATGATAGCTCCTGGTTTTCTTCAATATTTTCCTGGCTAAGAAGAGGAGGCATACTAACTACTCTAGTTAAATATGCTCTCCTGGCCACAGGCCTCAGCATTATCTTTTGCCTTTATATTAATTGTTTTATTACATGTAGTACTAAGGTTTTCTCAACTGATTCCTACAGATCCATGGTATTGATCAAGAAGTAGCTTTGCAAGGATGAATTAAACATTTTAAACAAATATTTTTTCTTTCTTTTTCAACCACTGCTTCAGCTTTACTAATCATGGAGTGATAGATATACATGATAGATATAAAGGGGCCTCTGCCCCCTGAATTCTTTCCGGACAATCGACTCCCAACATTATCTACTTCGTCACCACTGCCTGAAAACTAATCTCAGTTAATGAGACTTTGTTTATTAACTCCAATCACCTATCTTGTTTGTGGTTTAGGGAGTTTGAGAAGGGGAGGTCCAAACAATCATAATATCAAACTAAAGACAGGTTTTTTTTTAAAAATATCTTTCTGGCCCATCAGAACAAGACACAACTATGTTGCTTGAGATTTTCCTCTGTCATTCTGTTAATTACCATAAAAAAAAAAACCTCTGCTCTCCCTCACTTGTGGACTTATTAAAGAGTCACCCATTTATTGGCTACTGCGAGCCTTGCTAATAAATTGATCTTTGCTGCCTCAGTAAGCTTTTATTTCTATCATGACAGAATACTGATTTAGGAGTCAGAAGACTTGGGTTCCAATTCTACTTTCGACCTCGGGCAAATCACTACAGCAGGAGTTCTTAATCTTTTTTGTGTCATGGACTCCTTTGGCAGTCTGGTGAGGTCTATGTACCCCTTCTCTGAATAATGTTTTTAAATTAAAATACATTAAAATACATAAAGGAAACTAATTATATTGAAATATAGTCTGTAAACAAGATTATGATCACATGAGATCTAGTAGTAAATATAACAATTACAATTTTGTAGTGACTATAAATGATATTTTGAAATCTACAATGAATATAACGTGATACAGTATATTTCAGTGAGATATTTATGAAAATAAGGATGTAATTTTTTTCCTATCCAATTTCCCAGGCCTAAATTGTTTTTTGGCCTAAACTGCTTGTCTTGACCACTCTCATTCTACAATGTGCACCTGGTACATTAAGAATTCAGCTTTTGTTGTTGTTCAGTTGTATCTGACTCTTTGTGACCCCCATTTGGTGTTCTCTTGGCAAAATTACTGGAGTGGTTTGCCATTTTCCTCTTCAGCTCACTTTACAGATAAGGAAACAAGGCAAAACGGACTTGCCCAGGTTCACACAGCTAGTTAAATGCCTGAGGCAGCCTCTGAACTCAGGTTTTCCAGACTCCAGGCCCAGCACTTTCTCTATTCACTTCACCACTTAGCTGCCCCATGAATTCATCACCTGAGTACATAAAGAAAAATGAGTCTCCATCTTTTCAAGGGCATAGTTGACACAAAAACAATACATAAAAATATGTGTTTCTGAGAGCAGCGAATCACCTCTAAAACTGGACAGACACGCCAGTGTCACTCTATTTCAAAGAAGAACGAGACTTTAAATTTCATTAAGGTCAGTGCCCCCTAGTTAGAGGCTTCACCACCATCAAGGGCAATGGCTAACTGTATGGACTGAAGACTGACAGATAATAATTCACCACTAGATTTCCTAGCATAAAAATGCTTTGAATTTTTCAAGCAAGCTGTAGAAATTCACATTTAATGGGGTTATCAGGGAAGACAGAGAGGTAAGAAGGAAAGCCTGGAAAATTCTTACTAGTTCCCTGAAAACAAACACATGAAAAAGCTCAGATTTTAAAAAAAGTTAGCTTTTAAAATATTCTGTACAGAAAAAAAAATCCCAGCAACAAACTCACCCTCATTTTTTTTTTATGAGACCATGGCTCTTAGGCCTATAAGGTGTCTTAATTCTGGAAAATGGAATTACCAAGAATAATTAAGCATCAATCAATAAGTATTTAATAACAATCTTGCATGTAGTAACAGTTGGGCTGATTTTTGCCCTCAAGGACCAAACAGGAGACAGAAAATTAACATTTGTGAAGCAATTAGAGAGTGAGTAATGAACTGTGCAGTAATGACTAACTTAGGGGCAGACAAAGTCAGGGAATAAAGAGAGCACAAAGAACAGGAACAGAAATAGAAGTTTTCATTCTAATTTGTCTGGCAAAGATACTTTCTACTTATATTTGGACAAGACCTTCTGGCCCATGTTTTTTGGAGCACTACCCAAACAATTTTAACAAAACCCCATTCCCCACCCCCTTGCATCCCAAGCCACCTAAGAATGAAAAAAATAGAAGCTTAGAAAGTTAAAAAACAAAAACACTTTGCCATGGCTAGATCCTGACTAGCTAGCACTAGTTAGTAGCAGAATGATGGTTATCTATATTCCTTCCTTTCAAGCCAGTCCTCTAATCATCAAATTACACTTCCTTTTCTTAGAGACTCCCACAATAATTGTCATAAGAGGCACAGGGTCCCAGAGCACTGCTTCCCCACTGGAAGAATAACATTTCAATGGAAAGAGCATGCAGCTACCTATGTACTCTGTTATTTTCACATTGTTTCTCTTATTAGAAATGTTAAGGTCCTTGTGGCTGGTAACTTTTTTGATCTTTCATTGTACTCTTAGTCCTTAGCATAGTGCTAATGGATTAATCAATGATTGTTGACTGACTACTAGGGTAACTCCCCGGATCACAAGCTTATCAATCAATCAATCAACAAGTACTGATCAAGCTCTGGTCACTGACCCACCAATCAGTCAACATGCACTGCTGACTATGTGCCAGGCACTGTGCTGGGCGCTGGGAGTACAAGTACAAAGAAGGAAACAGTACTTGCTCATAAGGAGGGGCTGTTCTAATGGGAAACACGTCTGTATATACATATACAGCATAAAATTATATAACATATGTATAATACATATTACAAATTTAATAAATACATATATGTATATACAATATAGACACAAAAGAAGAGAGAGGTTTGGAGGGGAGAGGTAAAGTGGAGAGGGGAAAGAGGGAGAAGAGAGGTACAGAGAAACAGAGACAGGAGGAAGACAAAGTGAGAGGGAAATGCGGAGGAAAGGGGGGAAGGAGAGAGAGGGTTGGAGGGGGAGAAAAAGTAGGAGAAGGAGAAGGGAGAGAGACGGAAAGTGGGGGGAGCGTGCAGGGGAAAGGGGGAGAAAGGGAGAGCAAGGGAAAGGGAGACAGAAAAAAGAGGACAGGAAGGGGAGCCAGAGAGAGACCAAAATGGGGGACGGGGCCAGGGAGCACCCCACAAGTGCTTCAGGCCAGGCTACACCCCTCGGCCAGTCCGCTCGGCCCATCCCCGAGGGCGCAGTCACTGCCGGGGGTCGGGGGGCCTCCCAGACTCGGGCCGGGCCGTACCCCAATGTTCGGGGGTCCGCTCAGGTCGCTGAGCTGTCGCGCCACCGGGGCCGGGGCAGGCCCGAGCGGGCGCCCCAGGCGGGGTCGGGGAGTCCGGCCCTGGCCGGCCCGGGGCTCTGCTCCGCTCCGGCCTCCTCCCCCTCCGAGGTGGGCCCCCGCAGCCCCCGCCGAGGCCCCGGGAAGCGGCCGGAGCCGCGGGGGTGGGGGCGGGGCGCGGCGGGCTCTGCACCCACCTGATAACACAGAATGGTCTGTTGGACCAGCCGGGCGTACCCGTCCAAACGGACTCCCGAGTTGCTCCTGCTCCTCATCTCGGGGATCGCCCCCCACCCCCAGCCCTCCGGCTAGGACAGCGCGCGAGCACACGCACGCGCGCGCGGGAGGGCCCGCGGGAGGCAGAGGGAGGAAGGGCGCGCGCCGCCGCCGCGCGTGCCGCCGCCGCGCGTGCCCCAGCAGGCGGTGCTGCGCACGAGCCCGCGCGCGCCCCCGCATCCATTCATACCTCGGACTCGCGGCCCCTGCATGGGCTGGCTACGGGTCGTTACCTGACCGGGCCATTGGTAAATTTTTTTATTTTTATTTTTTTTTACCCTCTTTATATCTAAGCAGGTGGCATGCATATGATCTGCAAAACGCTCTACTGGTACTAGCTTATTTGCACGTTAGCACAACCCTGTAAGGCAAGCGTTGTCATCATCCCCATTTTGCAGATGGGGAAACTGAGGCCTAGAGCATCAACCATTTAGTATATGCTTGCAGGGAGATTTGAACTCGAGTCTGTTTCTGACTCTGAAATCCAGCGCTCTAGCCACTGTGCCACCTCCTATACTGGAAGAGGGAATTTATTTTTTGTAATTTTTTTAAAAACTGTAATGGCAAATATTTTGGGACACGGCCAGTGAGGCACAGGTTTTGCTTCAATATTACAGAGGTTTGTTTCTCTTTCTTCTTTCTGCGTAGAAGGAAAGAAAATAAATGGTGGCTAATTAAAAATAAGTTGAAAAATTGTGTGTGCAAGAACTTGACCTTGGAGCCGAGCGGGCTGCGGTTGCGGGGTCCAGAGCGGCCAATTCCCCCCAGATATATTGCAGCGCGTTTGGGATGGTGGCGAGGCGGCTGCGGCGCTCGCAAGGAGCCCTCTCTGCTGCAATCTGCACCCCTCTGCCCAGCCAGCCCCATCAAAGAAAGAAGCCTCTTCCGCGTGCCTCGGGGCCGACTGATTGTTCACAAAAAAGGGAAGAAACAATCTTTAGAGGCCTGACCCGGGAGGACAACCAAAAGCAGAGAATGGGCTTGCCCGCTCACTTCGCAGAATCTGGCCTCCCAAAGGCTATGACTAAAGGCTAGAAGCTGTCTAAGTAAGGCTCAACCTCCGAGTCTGGATAGAGGAGAAAAAGGCGGAGGCACTAGGGGACTGGGTAGCCAAGGAAGTATGTATAGCACCTGCAGTATGCATCCACTGCAGTTCCCCTTCCTACCGTAGTGTTGCAAGCTTTGCAGCAGAGCAGATCTAGCCTTGAGGTTGGGAGGAAGAAGTGAGAGAGTAAGTTACCGCCCTCCCCAACGTCCTGCCTCATCTTGCAATCTGCTGGGGAAGGAAGACAGTTCTGCATACCAGGAGCTCTTTGGTATTTCTTAGAAGAGAGGATGATACTATCTTTTACAACAGGTTAGTTGTACTGCAGGCCCCATAAAACCTCACCAATAAGGGAAGTATATGCCAGAGTGCAACAAGTCACTGGATGTTACACTTGCATGGTCTGCTCTCATTTCAAAATCAGGGTTCCTCCACCCGCACCCCCCACAAAACAGGGAACTAATACAGAACTTACTTCTTGATTTTCAAATTTCTGTTAATGATATGATCATTATCCTAACTACTCAAGTTCTGAACATGGAAGTCACCTTTGACTCCTCTCCCACGCGTAACAAACACCTAATCCCAGAATAAATGTGTGTGTGAGGTTCGTGGGAAAAGAAGGATGGATTTAGGCCTCAGATTTAGCAAGTAAAAAAAAAAATCGAAATTGGAATAGGTAAGCCTTTTAATAGCACTAATATCATGCTTAATATTAACTGGACAGGTATGTAACAGATTGATCATTTCATGTAAAATATTTTTTTTTTGAAAATACTCATTTTATTTGGTGTTTGTTAAATTCAAAACAAAATAAATATATAAGAAAATGGGGAGAAATAAATGGCAAAAGGGGCAGATTCAGAAAAACCTGACCTGTATGAACTGATATGGAATGAAATTAACAGATTCAAGAGAATGATTTATTCAGTGACCATAACTTTGTAAAGAAAATAACCATGAAAAATTTAGCAGCTGTGACCAAGGCAGTGACTGATCACCACTTGAGAAGAATGTTGAAGATACACTTTTTGACAGATGAACTAAAAGGAAAAATTAGACATTTTTAGAAACAATTAGGGTGTGGTAAAATCAGCTAGAACCATTTCTCATGAAGGTTATTAAATTTTCGATGTAAGCATTTACACCTTGGAAATCAGCAAATGCTAAAAAATATTATTAATAATAAAAATTGAACTTAAAAGTCTGCAATGCCTATATTTATTTTTCAGACAGCCAGTTGTTAAACATTTACCAGCACATCCCTAGACATGCCCAATGTGTGAATTTGTTTTTTAACATTATATTTATTTGTTTACAAAGTAGGGCTTTTGGTGGTGGGGGAATGATAATGATAGTGGTATTTTTTTAAAAAGAAAGGAAAGGGAAAAAAAGCACCAATAAATCATTAACGTGTACATAGACCAGAGAGAAAGGGAGAAGGGTTGTAGACAAGCAAAGCAGTGTTGAGAAAACAATGTTAAACTTAAAATACACAGAAATATCTGAAGGTAGTGGAGATTCAATTTCATGTACAATCAAATATTTCTGTTCTTTGTATATGGAAATATTCATCTGTTGATGATTGTCAAGTTCATAATAATAAAAAGAAAAATCTTTACAAAACATTTAACCTTGGTTAAAAAAAAAAAAGCCTACAAACAGTCAACTTACTGAGGTATACTCAAAACCTGTATAAATATGTTGCCCAGGGTTGCTGAGACGCAGGATCTCAAGGACTTTGGAGGATCTCCTCTAGAAGTCAGAGACTGAGAAAGATCTCCCCTGAATCCCAAAGACCTCTCCTGGAGTCTAAGAGGGCTTCCCCAAGATGACAGAGAATCCTGGGGCTAAACTGTTTATAGAGATTATCAAAGAACTCAGATTTAGAGTTCTTGAGTTCAGAGCATCCTTGAAGAAGACTTCCATGAAAGTGCAGGGGCACCGGACAGATAGGCAGCTACCTGAGAGTAGCAAGGAAATGAACTGCCAGCCTAGAGAATGAGAAGACAGAGGAGGGAGTGGTGGTATAAGTGGAGTGGGGCTAAAAGATCAAGATTTAATGGGCAATTGTGGCATTTGGGGAAAGTGAAGTCTTTCTTCCTATTTTTCTAGAGAGTGATGCTCTCTAGAGCACATCACAGTTTAAATCTCAATTGTTTCCTTCAGAAATCTCCATAAATCTGCTGGGAAGAAAGTATAGAACATCATGTTTTCGGAGGTGACCCTGGATGGAAGCATCATCACAACCTTTTTAATTTTGATTGACTGCTTATCTGTATTTTTGTGTTAGTCAGTTTTGCTAATAAATCACATGGCCATTAACAGTGATTTGTCTAATCCCAATTCACAATTGAGAGAGGGGGAAGCTAGCCCTGGGGAGAAGAAATTTTCCCTGTTTTTTCTGGGGTTGAAACTGAGTTTCTCCGATTGAGGAATTTACTGAAAATATTCCAGAGCATACCTATTCAAGTACATTTGAACTCTGAAGGAGAGAATTAATAAGGAGAGAAAATGGAGAGCAATAGAAGATGTTATGGTCATTTCTGGTGTACCTGAAAGGCCTTGTATCACATGCACACACACACACACACACACACACACACCCAGAGGGCTATACAATTACAAAATAAAGGATTTTTTTTTTTAAACAGAGGGATAGTCGATGCTGTTGAGTAGACCACGTCAAAATAATAAAATAATAAGAACTATAGCGCACAAATATCAAATCAAACTAACAGACATTCTTTATAGAGCTAAACAAAAATAATAGGAAAATTCATTTTAAGGAATGAAAGCCCTAGGATCCCCAGGTAAAAAAATAAAAAGGTGAAAAAGAAAGGGAAATACAACTTCAAGGCCTCAAATTATACCCTAAAGCAGTAATCAAACTAAATGAATAGGCACTGAACTAAGCACAAAGGATTATCATGGGAGAATGATGGTGTTAAAAAGAATGACTTCTGAAATAATAAACATCTTAGGAACATGGAAACCATTACACTATTTCCCATGATGATATAGATGTATAGCTGCCAATCACAGAAGGTAATCATTTCAAAAGAATTAAAATTGGTATGACAGATGTGTTCAAGGATGTGTATGACTGTAATAAGAGATAGAACAGCCATGCAGCAAAAATGAAAAACAACAGAGAGGCAGTTGAATGCTATGTTAGTACCTTGGTTTTATGACTTATGGAAGGATGGGGATAGTTTGTGATTTGTACCAGTGAACAGTGTCCACAGTAATGAGATTAAAATTTCATTTAAGATATGGGTAAAGTGAGCCTATCATATATCTTCAACTCAACCATAAGATCCATGAGGGATCCATATTAATCTTTCTGTCCCCCACGTTGCCTAGCACAGTGCTTTGTATGTAGTGTGTATGCAGTAAATATTTATTGAATGAATGAATCTTGTTCAACTGAGTCTTTCCAAATTTGGCATATGGTGCATGTTTTCGGCTGAGGTTACAATATTTTTGCATAGCTCTATGATGTTGACTCAGTGATAATACC